GCTATTTCTCATCAATAGAATACATATACTAGGGATCCACTTTAGTTATATACTCAAAGACACAGAGTTAACGGTAACCCTAAACAAGACAATAATGCTGATCACGGGACTGCCTTTTTCTATTTTCTATTCGCTAAATCGTGGACGAGGGCAATGCTTCCACTGACAATAATGTCTTGTGCTCTGTAGACTCTTACATATAGTCCCATCGGCTGGAGATCGTATCGACATATAAACGACACTGAAGGACAGGATAGATAGATAATAAAGATGTCGACAGCTAGCCTTCGACACGCACGAGTTTGAAGAGCGCGGCCAAGTCCTTATTCGTGCTCGTGCGGCGGACGCAAAAGAGCGAGCCGTCCGGGCGCATGCTCACCCAGCCGCCAAGGCCAAAGCAGCTCGCAAAGCTGAACAGCGTCGTCTCAGGACGAGAGACGTCGATCGCAAACTGCTCGTACGACTTGAGCCCCGCGCCTTGGATGCGCATGGCGCCGAGCGCGTTGAGCCCGAGAAACAGCCCTGAGCTCTCGCTTTTGAAGCCCCACATGTCGGTGCTGTCGGCCAGCGTGTACGCGCGGAAGAGGCAGTCGGCCGACGCCGCGTCCTTACTACGCTTCGATCAGATGATTTCTGCCGAGCTCACGCACCAAACCAGAGGGTCGCCGTTGACGTTGGCGACGAACTTTTGCGTCGTGAGCTCTTGGAACGCGCAGCGAAACTGCGGCGAAATCGTGAGGAGCGAGCTCGTGAGCTTGGTGGCTTTGGCCGTCACGAGCCGCATGTCATCCTTTGTCTTCTCCGACTTGGCCTCAATGCGGTCGATCTGCGCCAGCTGCATATCCAGGTGGTTGGAAATGCCCTTGGACGCGTGCTTGAGCTACATGAGCAATGAGAATACAGTGCAGGCGCAAGGGGTAAGTACTTCAAGAAGCTGCGGCCCGAGCGCCGCGAGGTATGCAGCCTGCTCCTTTGTGAGGCCATTGTCCGACGCAAAGACGTCGTCTTGGTCATCGCTTCTCTTTGATGGCAAGGACGCCGTAGCTACATGCATGAAGCTGGTAGGCAAGCCCGATGCTTTTGAGATGATCGACCTGGCAGCGACGTGTGCGCCGCCTCGTAGTGCTCCATGAGCGCGTGCTGCGACACCTGCGCGACGCGGCACTCGGGGCAGATGAAGCCCATCGCGATCTAGCACAGAGCGTCAGACAGTATTGATGTGCGCCGCCAACGACGTACCTCTTTGGATGGCGCCGACGCAGGCGGATGCGCCAACGAAGGTTCTTTTGCAAACTTGTTGGCGAGCCAGCCCGACCAGGACATGCCGCTACGCTCGCCATCATGAGGTCAACGACGTTGGCGCTGCTGCGCACCGCACGACGTAGTTGGCTTGCTCGACGACGTGCTGCGTCACGTCCAGCGCGGTCTCGGTCTGGTCAAGTTGCTCTACATGGGGCAGGCGTGAGCTGGCAGCGACGCCCTGGAGCTGCGTACCCGACTGCATCACGAGCGCCGACGCGACCTCGCGCGAGATGGCCACCGTCTCTGCGTTCAGGCGCAACGACGCGCGGTACTTGTCGGCCGCGGACGTCGTCGTCCCCACCTCCATCGCGCTGGCTAAAAAACAGTCCGTTCTTATCCGAACGCCATGTTCTCGCGGCAAACAGTGTCTCGAAACACTGTTTCAAGTGCGTTTTATGGGTTTTACTCGATTCCTGTCGCCAAGGGACATGCTCGAAGGACATGGCACGGGCGATACCGAATGCAAACGGTATGTTTCTAGTACAAGGGGTATCGAGGGAGCCCGGCGCTATTTCTCCATCGCACGCCACGACGGCGACGCGGCTCCTGGAGGACGTCTTGGATCCACACGCTGCCACGTGACGGTTTCTGATTGGCTCGCACGTACCAATCAGTACTGACTGCTAGTATCGTCAAAGTCACACGCATGGAGGACAGCACCACCGCCGTCCTCGACGACGCCGCCAGCGCCCTGGACGCGTGGATCGCCATCATAGTCGCGCTACTCCTCGGTACCATCTCGTTGGCGTGGTATGTCCTAGCGCAGCGCCCGCCGCCGCCAGTCGACGAGCCAGTGGCGCCGACCAAGTTTGAGACGTTTGTCCGGGCGCAAACCGCCGCCGCGCCGCGCGTCCTTTTCTCTACCGTTGCCGCGCCCGGTACGATCCGCACCTTGCTAAACCGTGCCAGCGTCGACGTGCTGCATGTCGATCTGACGCGCATTGCGGGCAAGGCCGGCATTCTGGCCGTCGTGCGGGCATGTGGCGCGTCAACGGACGACTGCACCGAGTTTCTCTTTGAGAACGGCCAGTACATTGGCAGCAGCGCGCTCCTCGAGGCCATGTATCGGTCGGGCGAGCTCGGGAAGCGTCTTCACGTGACGCTGCCACCTCGAGCCGACGATGAGCTTCTGCTCCCGATCGTGACCTTGGGCGACCACACGGTGGTGGCGCCCTGCGTCAAGACCCAGCTGACAATGGCGCAGCTACGCAGCGCGACCTTTAAGGCTAGCGTCCTTGCACCGAGCATTGTGCCACTGGCGTCGCGACCGCATGGCCAGAGCAGCGCGAACCGCAGCCAGCTCCTCGTCTCGTTTTCGCCGGTACGTGGCATCGTGGCTCGTCGGGCGACTCACATCTGTGGTGCAGACCGTGACCGAGTACCCGTGGGATGTCATGGACGTGCTCGTTGCCCACCCTTTGGAGGCGACCGACGTCCTCACGCTACCGGCGCCCGGGTGGGTCGATGCCGCCCACACCAACGGCGTGGCCGTGCTGGGGACGCTCACGTGGTCGGCCACTGCTAACGCCACGTGGGCGACGGACGAGGACCTCACAGTAGCGTCCAATACTCTTGCGATTGTGAACATATTGTCGTAGACTCTCGCATCGCTGCTGCTGGCCATTGCGCAGCGACTCCAGCTCGACGGCTGGGTCGTCACGGGTATGCCACCGCCGTCACCGGCAGTGCACGCTCTCTTGCCGCGGCTGCGCGGTACCACCTCGCGCGTGCTCTGGAGTACTGCTGAGACGGCGTCGGTGCCACGTCATGTCGACGGGCTGGTCTGGGTGGGCGACAGTAGCCCCAAGACGGTTCTCTCGCTGAAGAAAGCGTTTCCCGACATCCCGCTCTTCGTCCACATGGCGGAGCACGTCGACTTGCAGGCGCGGTCGCTTCGGTTCGCCGGCGTCTCCATCTCGATCGACGCCACCGTACGCACTTGGTACTATGACGAGTGAAAGATTTGATCCGCGCGTAGGCCAGCCAAGACGCCTTTTGGCCGTCGACGTGGCGGTCGCTCGGGCCCGTGCACGCCCGACGTAACGCGATCGCAACGAGCTTTGATGCGGGGCATGGCGACCACCTCTCGCTGCATGGCGAGGTCGTGTCGCGAGCACTCTGGCGCGACCCGGGCCGTATCGACCTCCAGCCAAAGTCGATTGCGATGAAGATGAAGGGCACGCTCACCGCCGCGCTCTCGACGCACGTCGCGTACCTCGGCGGCACGAGTCTGCTCATCGAGGTCGCCTGCTTCGTGCGTCCACGACCTCAGCTTACATATGCGTAGGGCACCGTGGGTCCGAAGAGCAATGCGATGCTCGACATTCTGCCGACCGACGTTCAATTTACGCCCCGAAAAGTCCTTTGCGTGCGCTACTCGTTCCTCAACTGGACGCCCAACGTTGCGCTGAACCTCGTGCTCTGGATCGCGGGGCGCCAAGAGCACTTGATGCTGCGCAGTTCGCAAGCGTCGTCGACACCGAAGAAGCGCCTCTCGCCGCTCGTCGGTCGGTCGGCCCTCGGCACCGTGTACGCAGCCAGCACAGAGACCACGCACGCGACCTCGGGCTGGATCACGCGAACGTACTACGTCGGCGGCCAGCTCTGGGACGGCAAGACCATCGTCGCCATCGGCGTGGCTGCCATCAACCTCCACGACGCGCCACAGCCCGTGTCGGCGCACCTCGGGCACCTCGCACTCGGCACCGACCCGCTCGAAGACGACGTCGACGCGTCATCATCCTGCTACACCAATGTGCGGGCATTGGGCGACACGGTGGTGTTTACGCCGTCGGCAGCGGTCGCATCCACCGCCATTTACACCGAGACGCCGCTGACCTTTGTCGCACAGACGCGCCAGTCCATGTGGTCGCCGATGGCGCCAGGGCGGTACGTCCTCCGTCCGATCGGATGGGCCGGCGCCTTTTTGGCACCGCTAGCGTCGTGTCCTCGCTTCCTAGTGCAAGACGCTGTGACGTCCGACGCAACGTAAGTGGTAGCAAAGGTGTATATAGTATAAGAGGGAACAGGGTTGTCTAGCAAATCGCGCAGTTGGAGCCCTTCTCCGGCACGAGGATCTGGTCTTTGGACTGCGGGTACGGGATCGTGTCGATCTCGTCGATGGCGAGAGGCCACTCGGTGCGGAACGCGATCTCTTTTGCGAGCGCTTGCGCAAACTTGACGTGGCCGCTCACCGCGTAGTGGCGCATGTTGGCAAAGTCGGCGTCGTCCATGCCCCCGGGTATGCGGAGGAAGCAGTAGTGCATGCGCAGATCCATCTTGCGCACGCGCGACATGGCCACCTTGGTGATCTCTTGCAGCTGCAATGACATGCGGCTCCGGTTGAGCTCGTCTTCTTCGCCGCTCGTACAGTTTTCATCGCAAACCACACAGAAAATATGCGCGTCCGGTCGATCTACACCCCGGTTACTTGACACATTGATACTTTTCGGAAACGAGATCCGTACGCAAGCGAACGTCTTCGAGCAGCGCCGTGTACGCGCCGACAATGTCGGCCTCGGACGACGCAGGCGGGAAGAGGTCTTGGCCGCCCAAGTTGATGATCACTGCGTCCGGCATCCAGCTACATTGTCGTTGGGAAGGCTGCAGACAATATTCTCCATTGATATACCTCTGGAGATCCCACTGGCCGTCGCGGGATGCGATCGTGTTCTTCCACATGGCGCTCATGTTGGCGCCCCAGTCGACCGAGTTGCTGTGGACGCCCTTCCTACAATGGCACGGTCGTATCGAACGCGACGCGAGATGAGGGACCGACCCGCTCCACGCCAAGACGTGTGCTTCGGCGTTGAAGAGGCGCGACGTGATGCACGGGTACGCGTTGTAGACGTTCTCCATGCGGCCCTTCATGCCGAAGAAGGCCTTGTTGTGCGACGCGGCGCCTTCGTTCCCAAAGCCGCACGTGTCCGAGTCGCCAATAAACTCCATCTTGCGCAACGTCGGCGGGGTGTACGGAAGCACCTCGGCCGTCCGGTCGACGATAAAGCCGTAAAAGGTGCACACCTTGAAGGTCGAGACCGCGCCACGCATCTGCGGCTCGGTGCGCTTGGCGACGTACACGACATGCTCGCCGCCGTCGTCAAAGTGGGCGATCTCGCAGCACGTGGCCTTGAGCGACGCGCGGAGGATGCAGCGGAAGGCGCCGTCGACAAAGACGTTGAAGTAGTTGCCCTCGCCTTTGAGGCGGATCGCGACCGTGGTCGCGCCCACGACGCGCAGCGTGAAGCCGCAGTGCGGCCAGTCGAACTGCACGGCGTTGACCTTGGTCTTGCGCGGACCCGTCTCGCCGTACCGGAGGAAGCGCCCGCTGAGGTGCACGAGCGGGTCGACGGCCGTCACGAGCCGGTACGCGCCGCCCTTGTACTTGGCGACGTCAAAGTTGTAGACCTCGAGCTCGGCCGTCGTCGGGCAGCCCGTCGTCTCGTGGTCGGCCTCGAGCATCAGGACGAATTTATTTATTTTGGTATATTTTTTAGTTGCTGTTTTGGATGGTAGATTCCACTTTCCAGCCAATCAAACACGCGCCAAATCTGCGTCAAGCCAATCACATAGCGGCGAGATGGGCAAGCGCAAGGCCATTGGCTATAATCCAAAGCTGAATCTTGGGTGCAACCCGAAGACGACCGCCGGCGAGAAAGGCGGCCGACCGGCGATGCAGGACATGCAGGACGACCCGTCTCGTGCTTGGTCCATGGCGGGTCCTCCGTATCTTTGGGCGCTGGCACGCGGGTGCGGACGGGTGCGCGCACCCGCCTGGCACATGGCGGACCGCCCCGTCGCTGCTGCAAACTATCGCGTCACACCACCTCCTCGCATGCGCCGCACCACGTGACAACGTGCGGGGTCGTCACCACGGAAGACTGCAACGCACGACGGGAGGCGTCGACAATCATCATCTATTTAAGCTTCGACAGTGCTGGCGACGGGCACCTCGTCAACAGGCGCCGAGACGCACGCTTGATTGGTGGTCTCGGGGCGCTCTGGTGTCGTCGCTTCCAACGGGCACGGCTCCGGCTCCGTCGCCGCTTCCTCCGCCATCGCTACGTCGTCTTTCGCCATCACAGGGACCGCCTCGGGCACGGCGAGTGGCACTGGGCACGAGCAATGGAGGCCATCGAGGTGCTGCGCCACCACGAGCTTGAACAAGGCCGAGAGTGACGCCGGCGTCACGTCGCTCTCATCGTGCATCGGGGACGCCAAGCGCTTGACCAAAGCACGATGCAAGCAGGCGCGCATCTTGGCAGTACTCGCAGCTTCGAGGATCTCTACTCCAGTCCTGAGCCTTGAATGTACGAAGGAGAGATAGATGCCTACCCAAGGCGGCGTCCTCCATGGCGGTGCGCTGACGCTGCTCGGCCATGCGCATGTGATACTCGTCTTCAAAGATGGGCTAGACAGCATCCTCATGACGTTAAGATGCACTTGACGTTGGAGCGTACCCGGAGCTTCTGAACGAGAAGCTTCTTCTTGACGCGCTTGCGGGACGCAAGATCAAACATACCTCGGATCGTGCACTCGAGCTGGAGTTCGTCGAGCGCGAGCGCGTCCAATGGCTTGCCTTGGTTCATAAAGTGCATCGCGGTCAGCTGCGTCGGGTCGACCTTGGCCTTCTTCTCTGCCTTTGTCGGGAGCTTGAACGCTGGCACGGGTCGGTCATGCGACTTGAGGAAGGACGCGATCTCAATGTCCTCCATCGTCATGATGTACTGGTCGAGCGTCACGAAGCGGTGACCAAAGACGTAGCCGCTGCCAATGTGACCCGAGAGGAGCTCCTTGCCCTGGAAGAAGCGCGAACCCGAGGCAGAGTCGTCTTCGCTACCGTCGACGTCGCCAAAGGCGATCGTTGCTTCGAGACGGGCGTCCTGCAGAAGGTCGAGCTGGGCTTGCAGCGCGGTTACGTCGTCGCAGCCGCAGACCGGATCGATGCCGAGACCGACATGGCGGATCGTCTCGCGGAGCTCCGTAGCGTGGACGTGCGCCAGCGAGGTCGCTTCGTCGAGCGCGCGGACGTCGCGCTCCTTGGTCTCGTGGCGGGCGTGCTGCGTCGGCGACGTCGGGACGCGGTAGCCGCCGAAGCGGGAGACGACAGGCAGCGCTTCATCGAAGAGGACGACCGACACGTCGGCGAAGTGGATGCGCCGGCTTCCGTCTTTGGCGCGCTTGGCGGGCGGGGCCTCGTCGGGCCGATCGAGCTCCCGCTTCATGCTGCCGATTGCTTGCCACTCTGCCGGGACGATCCATTATTTTCGACCTCTTTAACGCCTACTTTAACCCCTCCTCTCCCAACGACCATGCGTTTTTTACTTTGACGCAGACAGGCCGCCCGATCACGTTGCCTGGCGATCGTGGCACCAGCTCATCTCGCGTCCAGCTCCAGCGACTGTCACCATCGGCGCCGTGGTGTCCTTGGCCCATGGCACCAGAGGCGCGCTCAGATACGTCTACCAAGCCGCAGAGTCACAGTGTTCGGGATGTCAACCTGGCTAAGGACGACAGTACACTGTACTATGATGCCGAGTCGCAAGGGCGAGGAAGAGAGAGCACACGTCGCTTGGGTCTCTTAGCGTCCTTTGCTTTGCTTTCGGCGACGTCGAGGAGGCAGTTGTTTGGCGAGCGGCGGGCGCCCGCGTTCGATCTTACGAGCTAGTGCTCTCTACTTCACGAGACGACTAAAGACCGGTTCGCGTCTGGCGCAATGCAAAGTGAACCTCGCTCGCGTTCGGGTAGTTGGTGATCTGGCGCGCAAAGATCTCCTGGAACGGGCCCATGAGCCGCTCAAACGTCGCCACGTCCATCGACAAGCAGGTCACGTCGGTCGCCGCCACGACGCTCACGGCGCGCTTGGACTTCTCCGTGAGCGCCTACGGACATCGATGACCAACTTACTCGAAGGCTTATCGGCCCATTACCTTTTCGCCAAAGTAGCCGCCCGGCCCGACCGAGCCCACGACCGAGCTCGCGCCGTCCTCGTCTGAATACACAAAGTTGCATTCGCCGTCCAGGAGCAGGTAGAAATGAAACGTGTGGTAGTCGTCGTCGTCTTGGCGGATGAGGACGTCGCCGGCGCGGTACGTGGCGGGCTGGAGTGCGTCGGCGATGATCGACACCTCGGGCCGCGTCAAGTGCGACATGAGCTCCATGTTGGCCAGCAGCGCTTCGTATTTCTATCCCGTCATCTTGGTGCATATGCAGTACGTAGTAGGTCGTACCTGCGACCGCAGCTTGCTCGCCGTGACAATGATGCGTCGAAAGGTGTCCCGGTCCAGCGCCCAGAGCACTGCGTCTGTCGTGGCGACCACCGTGGCTGCGCGGGGGCTGTTGTACATGAGCGCGAGCTCGCCAAACGTGTTGCCTTTGACGTAGTGACAGACGGGCGTCGCAAGGCCAGTCGCGCGGGTAAAGACGTCAAACTCGCCGTCGTCAATCACGTAAAAGTAGTCGCCTTCCTCGCCCTACGCGCCATGCATGAGATGCGCCGCTTCGGACGTTCGCACCTGGTTGATGACGACGTCGCCTCGGCGCACGACCTTCTCCTCCATCGCGCCAATGACGTCGCGCTGCTGCTCCATGTCGAGCGAGTTGAACATGAAGTTGCTCGCGACCGCCCGCTTGATGCGCTCGATGGCGTCGTCCGACTTGGGTACAAACTTCTTGGGGCCGGCCATGGCGGCGTTCTGGAGGCTGCCCGAGCTATGGCGTCGTGAGGATGCGGTGGGCTGTGGCAGATGGACCTCGTACCTCACGGACGGTCGTCGCCCGCGGCTCTGTGCCATGGCGCGTCGCTTCCGATCTTCCGCATCGTCCTCGGCAAGAACCGCGTCGCTGGATGCTACGCTCATGTCCTTGGCGCGCTTGGCGGGCGGGCCGCCGTCCGGCCCATCGGGCTCGCGCTTCCCACTGCCGCTCACCATGCTGAGTGCTTGACGCACCATTTTGCCCTTGACCGGGTGGGTTTAACGTCAAACGCCAGATGCGTTTTATAGTAAAACGCAATGCTACAGTGGTGGTTGAAGAAGGAGCGTGGCCAAAGCAGGTGACACCTCGCACTGTACTTGTCGGGCCGAACACATAGACGACCTGGGCCCATTCAAATTTACCTACTTGTCAAGCCATCTCGCTCTCTTCCTCGCATCGGCCACAGACCTGGGCGCCAGCATGTTTGAGTCCTATACTACAGTAGTATATCATGCTAATATGCTGTGAAAATGCACACTAGTACTGGCATATGCACCCAGACGACAACGTTTTGAGCTGAAGGTCGAAGCCTCCGTGGCTCTCATGAGGTGCGAGGTTCAAGCTCCGTCATCCTTATCAACAACGTAGCCCGCCCAGCCAGTCCTAACCCCGGCACCGCGATTAGGGTTGGGGTTTCCACCGCAGCGATCGTGTCGGCTGCCATTTGTAGAACAGAAACATGGTGATCATATAAATGCAGGTTACTAGTCGACGTGACAATGTAGGCTCAGAGCACGGGCTTGGCTTTGATGGGCAGTTTGTGCAGCGAACTTGACCGGTGGTACGACCGCACCGACTGCGGGCTACTCGCCCGGAGCGCGAGCTGGCGGCGGCCATGGACGCTGAGCCTCTCCTCGTCCTGACTCGCGGCCATGCCGTTGAAGATCTCTTCGAGCGTCGTGTCGCTCACGCTGTATTGCGCAAGGAAGAGCGCCTCCTTGTGGCCTTCCATCCACGCAAAGAGCGACTGGAGCGTGTGGCCAAACGCCTTCTCGACTTGGAGACGAAAGTGCTCGCCGTGATGCTCGATGAGCGTCGTGCCTTCGAGGTCCGCGTCCAGTCGCTTCAAGAGCGCGTCGCTGGCATCGTCGGTCGCCCACCACTGCCGAAGCACGGCAATGGGGACGCCGCCGTCCTTCTCGAGGTAGTGGGCGATGACCCAGTCCGCCTGGAGCCGCTCCAGTCGCGGTGCACAGTCCATTTCGTCGCAGAGAGCCGCCATGTCGTCCATGCTCAGCATTGTGGAGGCTGTTGGCAACAGAGGCCAAGTATCTTCGGGCAGCGCCTCGAGCTTGAGGTCGAGCGTAAAGCCGCGGCCAAACTTGTGCTTGAGATGCTGCGCCGTGCCGAGGCACTTGAGCTGCCCGCTCACGAGGATGCCGATGCGCGTGCAGAGCGCTTGGCACTCCTCCATTGAGTGGGTTGTCAAAATCACCGAACAACTCTTCTCTTGCAGAACGCCGACAATCACGTCCCACATGTCGCGCCGCGCGGCCGGGTCCATCCCCGTCGACGGTTCATCGAGTAGCAGCAGCGTCGGCGACCCGAGCAGTGCGATGGCCGTCGACACCTTGCGCTTGTTGCCGCCACTGAGGCCCTGCGTCCGCTTGGCTGCAAACGCGTGCAGGCCAAACTGGTCGATCTTGGCGGCGACCGCGCCCTTGACGTCCACAACGCCCTTGAGACGCGCGTAGAGTTCGAGTTCCTCTTGGACCGTGAGCAAGTCGTGGAGTGCGTCAAACTGCGGACAGTAGCCGGTCGAGGCCCGCGCTGCGCGGAGTTCGGTTGGCAACTGATGGCCATTGACCGTGACCGAGCCAGAGGTGGGCTGCAGCGCGCCATGGAGGATCTGCAGCGTCGTCGACTTGCCCGCGCCGTTGATGCCGAGGTAGCCAAAGCACTCGCCTTTCGGGATGCCGAGGCTGAGCTGGTGCAGCGCAACCTTCTCGGTGCCGTACTGTTTGTGGAGCTTGTGCAAGACGACGTTGTCGCCACTGGCGCGGCCTTGCATGACGCGAATCGCTTCGGCGGCCACGTCTGGCTCAAGAAAGCCTCCGCGCTCGCGGTAGGCGTTGTCGGCCTTGGTCGGTGGCCGAGCGCGAGTCGGTCGGTCGGCGTAGAGCACTAGAAGCGTAAACAGCACCGCTTCGACACCGCCGTACAACAGGCTTCGCCCGGCGACCGACAGTTCAAACAAGTTGGCTGTGCAGCAACCAGCAACGTTGGCACTCCAGCAGGACTGTTCGATCGGACATGAACCTGTGCTCATGCCTCCAAACGGGTTCCCGTACTTGCGCATGCCAATCTGGAAGAGCCCGTCCGTGAGCGCGTACCCGGGAAAGAGCAAGTAGACCCAGCGCAGGTACTGCGTGTCGAGCTGCGCTAGTGTGAGCTGGTTCTTGATCAACTCAAAGTCGATCAAGCGGCAGAGAAACGAGATGATGCTGAGGAGACCGCCCGTGACGAGGCAGAACACCAGCACCGACGTCTGAGCGGCCGCGTGCTTTGTAAATCGAAACGTAAAGAGGTACGCGAGCGGCAGCATCGAGAGCACGTGCGTCAGCAGAAGGGCGAGGCCGCCGAGAATCGACGCCGAGTCGTTCTGAAAGCTCGCAAACGACGGTAGCAAGGCGACAGCGACGCCGACCGGCAGCAGCATGAAGAGCACGTCGTGCGTCCAGATCGAAAACCAGTAGGCAAACACGGACGAGCCGCAAGCGAGCTGTTGGTACTTGGCGTTCTGGTGCGGGTCCTTCTCCTTCACGATAAACACAACGATCGACGCCGGCACAAATGCAAAGCCAATGACAATGATGAGCGACGCGAGGAAGGTGTTGATCTGGCCTTGGAGCTTGGCGTCGCGCTTGACGAGGCACCGGCCGCTGTAGCACGGCCACTTGTTGGATGCGCAGCTCGAGCACGGATAATACGGCGAGATCGGCTGCGTGGCGTCGCAGCATGTGGATGCATCGCAGTCGCCGAGGCCGAGCGAGCAGTGGCTGAACCACTCTGTGACGCAGACGCTGGTGTTCCGGAGAAATCCACCGGGCATTGCGCAGTACGGGTACGACGAGTTGCCTCGGATGTCGCCCTCCGAGCAGTAGTTGGTCACTTCGCAGCCGTACATGAAGGGCTGGCAGTTGGGGCACACGGCAGGCGTGATACCGTAGGCACACTCGTAGTTGGTCGTCGAGTTGGTGAGAACGACGTTGCAGCCTCTGTAGTTGCCGACCTCTTCTGTGCTAACGCCAAGCGCGTACGATGGGAGATAGCTCGCGACTCGAATGGACGGCAGAAGTGCGAGCATCCCGAGGAAGAGCACGGGGATGAGGAGTGTAAACACCATGTTCTTCTTGTCCCGCCGGGATACGCGCCAGCTATCATATCAGTTGATGTGAATTGCAACACAAATTTTGACTTTAGAGGATGCAAATCGACATACCGTTTCTGAAGCATGGCCATGTATTGGTGGCGAAACGACGGCGGCCGCGTTGCTTCGGCGGCTGCCCGAGGAGGCTTTGCGAACAGGTTGCGCTGACTCTCACGCCAATGGACAAGGGCTTCGGAAGGACCCTTGACGTCGCCTTGGTGGGCAATGCGCAAGAAGACTTCTTCGAGCGTCGTGACCGAGATGCCATACTCGAGAATGCCCAGCGCCACCAACTCGTCGTCAAGAGCGCGGAGGAGGTCGGGGAACGTCGGACTTGCGTGCGTTGGCAGCTGCAAGACGACTTCGGCGCCGACGTTGCTAAGCACGTTCGTGTCGGGCACAAAGCGCCGCACAAATGTTACGAGGTCCGTCACGTTGCAGCTGTTGTTCTTGACGAGCGTTAGGTTGTAGCCTGTGCCGTAGAGCTGCTTGAGAAAGAGCGACGAGCCCGCGCAGCAGAGCCGACCGTCCGACAAGATGACGATGCGGTCGCCGAGCAGGTCGGCTTCGTCCATAAAGTGCGTCGTGAGCACCATGACCCGGTTCTCGCGGTTGCGCTGGAGCACGTTCCACGTAAACCTAGCCGCAGAATACTATCAATCTATCAATTCGTAGCGCGATAGACATACCGGCGCGAGTACGGGTCCATGCCCGAGGTAGGCTCGTCCAGAAACACCACTTGGCTCTTCCCAAGCAGCGCGATCGCGACGCTGAGCTTGCGCTTCTGGCCGCCCGAGAGCTTGGCCGACGCGACGTGGCGCTTCTCGACAAGTCCGACCTCGGCGACCATCGCGTCAATCTGGGTGCTTGCGTCGTCAATGCCCTTGAGGGCCGCGTACAGCTGGAGGTGCTCGAGCACCGAGAGCTCGTCGTAGAGCACGTCGTGCTGCGGACAGACGCCCATGCTGGCGCGGATCGCGTCCATGTCGTCCGTGATCGTCTTGCCAAAGACGTAGGCCGTGCCTTTGGTCGGCGGGAAGAGACCCGTGAGCATCGAAATCGTGGTCGTTTTGCCCGCGCCGTTGTGCCCGAGGAACGCCGTGATCTGGCCGGCGTACATGGTCACATGGAGGTTGTGGACGGCAACCTTGCTGTCGCCGTCGTCGGTCTTGAACGTTTTCCGGAGTCCGACGAGCTGGACGCACTCGCCGGCCTGCTCCTTGAGACGCAACGCTTGCGTCGGCGGCTCGACGTTGGCTTGCTGCATGCTTGATGCCTCACTGCTCGAGGGTGTCGACATGGCTTCGTAGTCGGGGATGTCGGTGAACCGCGCAGTGAACCGGCGGCGAAACTGGCGCGGCGCTTCGCTCCGTAGAGCCCAGTAAGCGCGATGAAAGGGGAAGTGCCAGGGCTTGGGCACACCGTACTGTTGCGGTACGACCTGCTCAAAGTACCAGCACGCCAGCAGCATGACGACAGCGTCACTAAAGAGGAACCACGTCATGTCGCTGACTCGGCTCCCGCCAGTGGCTTGCGCCGACGCAATGCTGTAGTAGGGCTCGGTGCCGCGCTGCGCCTGCTGCGTGAGCACTTTGATTCCTAACGCAAATGCCGTCGGGGCGCTCAGCGCGGCTGCGTACTTGGACGTATGCGACGAGGCGTCGACGGCGTAGAAGGGCAAGAAGGCGAGGACCCACACCAAGACGGACGCAATTGCCGCCGTCTTGGACTTGTTGAAGAAGATGCTCATGAGATTTGCAAACGAGACCATCGAGAGACCAAACGCCGCAAAGAAGAGGAAGAGCGTCGCGAGGTCGGCCATCGGAAACACGTTGCCAAACTTGAGCTCGAGCGCGATGGCAAGTGCGAGCCACGTGTAAACGACGTGGTCACCAAGGAGCCACGAGACGCGCAGCGCCGAGTCCGAGACGCCCATCATTTTCATGCCTTCGGTGAGCCGCTTCTCCTTCTCGAGCACGATCTTGGAGGTGAGCGACGGCACAAAGCGGAGGTACGAGAGGAGGAAGAACATGCCAAAGACCGGCTGCCCGCTCGTGTAGAAGGTTGACGACGTGGACGAAGGCGCGCCAGTCTGGAGAAGCCGCGGGAGGTTGGCCAAGCACGTTGACAGCAACACAGTCGTGCAGTCGAGCTCGCCATCGCAGTTCGACCGAGTGCTCCAAAACTCATCGGACGACGAGGCCGCAAACGTGGGAAGGAAGCCAAGGACGACGAGCGCACCGACAAGGAGGAGCGGCAGCAGCAACTCGAAGAGCGCGCGGAACGGCCGGCGCTTGATAAGTTGAAAGTTCTTCCAGACCAAGATGCGCACTTGGCGTTCCAAGCGCAAGTAGCTCGCGTAGCGTTGGGACGTCTTGGTCGCGCGCTGCTTGCGCCAGCGCACGAGCAGCCAGAAAAGCCCAACGAGGAAGAGCAGCGCGGCGAGACTGATGGCGACGATCGCAGCGCGAGAGAGGGAGGCGCACCCGAGCGGTTCAAAGAGGTACGTATCGAAGAGCACCTTGCACGCGCGTGTTGATGGCTGGGCGGCGCATTGCGTTGCGGCCACCGATGTGCTGCAGCAGGACGCCGCGCCGTCTGCACACGTGAGCGCACACGTCGACGACGAGAAGACGCCGGCGTTGACGAGGCACGAGTAGTAGTTCAAGTCGTTCTTGGCGGCGAAGAAGCACTTTTCGAGTTGCGTCTCGAGCCACGAGCTCATGCTGCCTCTCCAGAGTCGAAGAGCCCCAACAAGTTATTCTACGACGAGTGTGGTTTTGTAGTCCACAAATAACTCAAGGGTCCATGTTGTTTCATGGTCAACAGCGCCGAGACACGAATATTTGTTCAAATTACACTTTGGTCGGTGGCTTTCATGGGTGGCTTTGCTAGTTCGGGCGGCAATACCAACTTTGCAAATTGCTCTATGTAGCGCGACGGCCGCGCCCGTCCAATCTAGGGTGACCGTGGAGTCGGCGTCTGCAAACGGTGGCGGACCCTATTGCAGTTGAGCAAGGACATGCGTCTCTGAGGCGAGAGGCGACCGAATTGATGCTGGCGACAATGACGTCAATCACCGCTGCCAGGACAATCGTCGAGGCTCGGCGGCACCCTCGACAGTCTCAACCGGCACTTGATCGAGCGTAGTTTCATCGAGTGTCACCGATCTCCGTGTCGTAGCGCACGAGTGGTGGCTGGTCGTGCCTGCGTCGAAGCGCTTTCGCTGCATTCGTCAAGCTTGTGGATGTGTTGCCAAGGGCTTTGAGCAGCGTGTAAAAGCATTTCGCACCAGGACGACTCATCTCCGTCAGCGCTTCGGGCGCCGCGTTGCTAGTCGCTAGGTCGAGCAGCCAGACAAGCACTTCAGAAAAAGCTGCCGCATGATCGCGGGCAGTTTGAGTCCATTCGAGTACGGCACGGAGAGCTCGGCGGTAGTCGTTGCAAGCATCATGAACAAGTTCCTTAGCCATGGCAGCACCGACGTCACCGTATAAACCAAGCAGGCGAAGACACATTGCCGGGAACCGCGTCGGGCAGCGTCGCAGTAGGTTGTTGCATCCGCGTCGCTTCCGGGCGTCTAAAATGCACTGCTGGATTGTACTTGACTCGCCTTCCTGATCCGCTGTCACGATACCAGCGACATATACAGGCTGATCGCAATAATTCTGGATGCGGCGTCGGCAGCGAGGTTTGGTTTGCGCGCAGACCATATCCCTGGCTCATTCTGGGCACAAGCTCCGGTTTCAGAAGAAGCAGGCACAACAGCAAGGACATGCCCTTGACGAAAGAGCCTGCAAGGAGTTTGGAACGAGTCGACGTCGAGCGACATCGGCATTGCTAGTACGTGTACTAGTGCAGCAACAGCGGCTTCGACTAGTACTGTACAACAAGCTACTGCAGTGTAATGTACGCACTCGATGGAGTGGGGATTGCTATTCCTTGATTCCCAGCACGTTACACTAGTCGTGTGGACTGGAGGGTGATACTTACGATCCGACGACGCTACAACTTCAACGCGATTAGACAATGTACCGAATCCGCACCCGAACCAGGAGTCGCGGGACCGGGACTTTGATCGAGTATACAAGAACCGTAGCATGAGCGTCGACCTATGCCTGCGTCCAAAATAAAAGGTGAGTCATTTGTGTACATGCTAACCGAGTGGACTTCTCCGCCGAGTTCGAACGAACTCGCTGGCTCTTGCGAATATTTGCCAGTGTCTGACACCTTGTCCGCCAAGTGCTTCGAACTTCGGTTCACAGAATATTTGTTTTCAACCACATCGCGCGTGTGGCCAGTCCCTCTCCCTGCGCAGTGCGCAGTTTATCGCTGAGTCACGGAAGGGCACCACGTCATACAAACGTGAATCTTGTATCCCACGACGTGTCATGCGGACACGAGGTACGAACCAAACACGCACCCCCTCCCTAGCAACGCCAAATAATAGAAACTCCGTCCCAGAGTGGCCCTTCCGTCCCCATCAATAGACAAGCGTGTCCACGCACGCGTCTAATGAGTAACTCCAAGAGACCGTACGGGGTATGTCCGTCCCATTGACGCCACAAATCGCTTCGCAATGTGTGAGGCGTCGTCTTGTGGGTCGTTGTCTGCCAGTATATTGCAAAATGTGTGTTCACGGGGCATCATATTGGGCCGGCCGTCGCAGGATCACAATATATATTAGCACAATGCCGCGATCCCATTGGCTACTTTGCAATCCAGTGGCTGCAAACCGAAGTTCGAAGGGCATGTCGCTCGTGCGTGAAGATCGGCTGGCGACGTCCGGCTTGCCACTGCCCATTTCGCGAAATGAGCTCGGCCGCGCTCGCATCACAGCTCTCGAGCTGCCTCGCCGACGCCGGCGGCGACTACGCCTACTACGCCTGCGTCATCGCGTCCGGCCTCTTCACATCGCCGAGCTGCGACCTCGCGTGCTCAGGCCATGGCTCGTCCGCGTGCTGCGACGCGCTCACGACCGCGACCAACTGCGTCGCGCAGACCGCCACCGCGAGCTGCAAGAAGGTAGTCGACAGGACGCTATCGAGCATCACACAGTGCGGCGGCCTCTCGTCCGCGGCTATTGGCGCCATCACGATCGTAAGCCTTTTGCTTGTCGCCGTCGTCGCGGTCGCGGGCCTCGTCGTCGTCGCCAAGCGCCGGGCGACCGCCGACCCGCGCAACAAGTGGTCGTACCTCGTACGCAACCTCTCGCAGATGCGCGTTCTTGTCTGGAAGAACATGCTCCTCGCGCGAAAACACCCGTGGCGCACGCTTATCGAGAGCCTCTTACCGCTCGTGCTCGTCGTCGCGCTCGTGATCCTCGGCAACCTCGACACGATCGCCGGCTCGAACGACAGTTCAACGTCCGTCACGACACGGCCCTGCACGAGCACCAACTGCTCGGTGGTCATGTACTTGAACTGCATGGACACGCTCCCGAATATCTTTGGCATTGGCAGTCCGTCGTCGACTGCCACGTCCTTCTACTCGAGCGGGCAGCCGGTCTTTGGCATGTTCTTCCTCCTCTCGTACCTCCGCTTTGTTCCGTCGCTCACCTCCAAGATGGTGCTCGAGAAGGAGAAGCGGCTCACCGAAGGCATGCGTATGATGGGCCTCTACGAAGCGCCGCTGCTGCTTTCGTGGTACATCTCTGGCTTTCTTCAGTACACCCCGATCGCGCTACTGCTCGCAGTCGAGCTCAAGTACGGCAACGTCTTCCCGATGGCCGACCTCGCGACGCTCTTCCTCTTCTTTGCGGCGTTTGGCCTTGCGATTGTGAGCTTTGCGAACCTCGTCGGCGTCTTCTTCAACAAGTCCAAGACGGCTGCGATCGCTTCCGTCTTGGTGTGGGTCCTTGCCTTCTTGCCCTTCTACCTTGTCCAGAGCAAGTCGCTGGCGCAACAGTATGGCGCTGCGTGGAGTGCCCCGACCGCCTTTGCCATCGGTATCAACTACCTCGTGGTCCAAGCCCAGCGGGGCACGGACGTCTACTACGCGATCGCAACTACGACGTCGCCGATCTCGAATGTGATTACGACCGGCGACATGACGTGGTACCTCTTGCTCGACAGCATTTGGATGCTTGTGCTTGGCTGGTACTTTCAGCAGGTCGTGCCGCAAGCGTACGGCGTCCGCAAGCACTGGCTCTTCCTCTTCACGCGCGACTATTGGTGGCCGGCGCCGCGGACGCCGACGCCGGTCGAGTCGCCGTCCTTCCACTACGCAGACATGACGTCGGTGCCAACGCCGAATGACGGCCCGAGCGTCGAGCCGCCGACGCAAGCGTTGCGTCTCAAGGAGCAGGCCGGCGAGTGCGTCCAGCTCGTCGGACTCCGGAAAACGTTCAAGACGGACGACGGCGACAGCAAGGTTGCCGTCCACAACCTCCATGTGACCATGTACGCCGGCCAGATCACGGCGTTCCTCGGGCACAACGGCGCGGGCAAAACGACCACGATTTCGATGCTCACGGGTCTCTTCCCGCCGACCAAAGGCACGGCCTACGTCTTTGGCAAGACGATCACGGACGACATGGACGCGATCCGCGCCAGCATGGGCGTCTGTCCGCAGCACGACGTGCTCTACGACGAGCTCTCGGTGCTCGAGCACCTCCAGCTGTACGCGGCCCTCAAGGGCATTGACGACGCAAGCACCCAGATTGACGCGATGGTCGCCGAGGTCGGACTCGTCGAGAAGCGCCACGTCGCGTCGGCCAAGCTCTCGGGCGGCCAGAAGCGCAAGCTCAGCGTCGCGATCGCGCTGCTCGGGAAGAGCCAAGTGGTGTTTCTGGACGAGCCTACCTCGGGCATGGACCCGTACTCGCGCCGGTATGTCTTTCTTGCTACGAATTGATAGATTGATAGTTTTCTGCGGCTAGGTTTACGTGGAACGTGCTCCAGCGCAACCGCGAGAACCGGGTCATGGTGCTCACGACGCACTTTATGGACGAAGCCGACCTGCTCGGCGACCGCATCGTCATCTTGTCGGACGGTCGGCTCTGCTGCGCGGGCTCGTCGCTCTTTCTCAAGCAGCTCTACGGCACGGGCTACAACCTGACGCTCGTCAAGACCAACAGCTGCAACGTGACGGACCTCGTGGCGTTTGTGCGGCGCTTTGTGCCCGACACGAACGTGCTTAGCAACGTCGGCGCCGAAGTCGTCTTGCAGCTGCCAACGCACGCAAGTCCGACGTTCCCCGACCTCCTCCGCGCTCTTGACCAGTCGCTCCGGTCGCTCGGTGTCGCCGAATATGGCATCTCGGTCACGACGCTCGAAGAAGTCTTCCTGCGGATCGTAGCCGACGGCAAACCGCCCGCCGGCAACGGCGACATGGAGCTGCGCGAGTGGCGCGCGAGCCAACTCGGTTATAACGAGCCCAAGCGCCGGCCCACGCAGCGCACACGGACGGCGTCCTTTGCGTCCCAGTACTTTGCGATGTTGCACAAGCGGTATGCCACTGCATCGATGCTGCATCTTGTTTATGTACGGGCGTAGGTTTCGCGTCTCGAAGCGCGACAAGAAGGCGTGGGTCTTTATGGTGCTCATTCCTGTGCTCTTCCTCGGCATGCTCGCGCTCATCCCGAGCATTAACGTTGCCAGCTACCTCCCCACGTACGACAAGGCGGATTCGTATGCCGCCGAGTACTACAACGCGTGCGCCGCCTCGGTGCAAAGTACCAACAAGTGCGCATTTGGCAACACGATCGGCGGCAACTGCCAGTGCCAAGCCAAAGGTGACGTCTTTGTCTGCGACAGCTCGACCAGTTCGTGCTCGTCGGGCACTGTGGCGGCCAACCAAACAACGTCGTCGTACCCGTACTGTACATCGCCGGGTGGGCCGATCCGCAACAAGACGGCGTGTCTCAACAAGTGGTTTAGCCACTGCTCGCTCGGCCTTGGCAACTGCAATGCGACGTCGTGCTGCGACGCTACGCAGCCGATCTCGCCGTATTATCCGTGCTCGAGCTGCGCGTCCAACAAGTGGCCATGCTACAAGGGTGGCTGTTTGATGAAGGACGACGCCAAGCTCCAAGGCCAGATCAACGTCTTCCTCGCGTCGCTCATCATTGTCATTGGCTTTGCATTTGTGCCGGCGTCGATCGTTGTGTTTATCGTGAAGGAGAAGGACCCGCACCAGAACGCCAAGTACCAGCAGCTCGCTTGCGGCTCGTCCGTGTTTGCCTACTGGTTTTCGATTTGGACGCACGACGTGCTCTTCATGCTGCTGCCGGTCGGCGTCGCTGTCGCCTTGCTGCCGTCGTTTGCGAGCTTCCAGAACGACTCGGCGTCGATTCTCGGCGGCCTCGCCCTTCTGCTGACGCACGTGCTCTCGATGCTGCCGCTCGCGTACCTCTTTACGTTTCGATTTACAAAGCACGCGGCCGCTCAGACGTCGGTGCTGGTGTTCTGCCTCGTCACGGGCGGTCTTCTCAGCATCATTTCGTTTCTCTGCCGCTTGATCGACTTTGAGTTGATCAAGAACCAGCTCACATTCGCGCAGCTCGACACGCAGTACCTGCGCTGGGTCTACTTGCTCTTTCCCGGGTACGCGCTCACGGACGGGCTCTTCCAGATTGGCATGCGCAAGTACGGGAACCCGTTTGGCGGCGCCGACATTGTCGCAACATCGTGTCCGCTCGCCAAGTCGTGCTGGAGTGCCAACGTGGCCGGCTGCTGCGTCCCGGACGTCTTTGAGTTCAACATTGCCGGCCGCAGTCTCCTCTACGGCGTCGCCGAAGTGGTTCTTTTTTCGCTTTGGGTGCTCTACGCCGACCGCGCAACGCAGACGTACGAGGCGCGCCGGCAGCAGCCCAACAAGGCGCTTGAGAATATGGACAGCGACGTGGCCGCCGAAGCGATTCGCGTCATGCAAGGCCGCGCCAGTGGCGACAACGTCGTCTTGCACAAGCTCCACAAACAGTACGGCGCCGAGAAGGTTGCGCTGCACCAGCTCAGCCTCGGCATCCCGAAAGGCGAGTGCTTTGGCTACCTTGGCATCAACGGCGCGGGCAAGTCGACGACGCTGCAGATCCTCCATGGCGCGCTGCAGCCCACCTCTGGCTCGGTCACGGTCAATGGCCATCCGTTGCCAGCCGAACTTCGCGCGGCGCGGGCCTCGACCGGCTACTGTCCGCAGTTTGACGCACTCCACGACTTGCTCACGGTCCACGAGGAGCTCGAACTCTACGCGCGTCTCAAGGGCGTTGTGGACATCAAGGGCGCGGTCGCCGCCAAGATCGACCAGTTTGGCCTGCACGCGTTTGCAGCCAAGCGGACGCAGGGCCTCAGTGGCGGCAACAAGCGCAAGGTGTCGACGGCCATCGCACTGCTCGGGTCGCCGACGCTGCTGCTACTCGATGAACCGTCGACGGGGATGGACCCGGCCGCGCGGCGCGACATGTGGGACGTGATTGTCGGCGTTCTGCAAGAGAAGAGTTGTTCGGTGATTTTGACAACCCACTCGATGGAGGAGTGCCAAGCACTCTGCACGCGCATCGGCATCCTCGTGAGTGGGCAGCTTAAGTGTCTTGGCACGGCGCAGCATCTCAAGCACAAGTTTGGCCGCGGCTTTACGCTCGACCTCAAGCTCGAGGCGCCCGAGGGCGACGTGATGCTCGCGTTGCCGACCACCAAGCCGTCGCTGGCACTGGAGGACCTTGAAGGCCTCTGCGAGGCCATGGGCCAGAAGGACCGGCTGGAGCTCTTGGCGATCGACTGGGTCATCGCCCACTACCTCGAGAAGGACGGCAGCGTCCCCATCGACGTCCTCCGGCAGTGGTGGGTGCTGCAGGACTGCAGCCAGCGCCTTATCGACGCGCTCTCGTTTCATGTCCCCGGCGTCGTCCTCGTCGAGAGCCACGGCGAACACTTTCGCTTCCAAGTCCCCAAAGTGCACGGCCACACGCTCCAGTCGCTCTTTGCGTGGATGGAAGACCAGAAGGAGGCGCTGCAGATCGCGCAATACAGTGTGAGCGACACGACGCTCGAAGAGATCTTCAACACGATGGCGGCGGGCCAGGACGAGGAAGTCGGCGTCGTCCACGGGCTTCGCCAGCGCTCCAAGAACGGCAGCAGCCTCCGCCCCGTGCGCACGTACCACCGCGGCACGTCGCTGAGCTCGCTCTCTTCGCAGCGCCGCGAGTACGACTTGTAAGTATCTAACCCGAATCTGTAACTATTGTAGTATCAATCTATCGACTTTGTGCAAAGCTGCCCTTAGTACTCGAATGGATTAATCCAGCTACGTGCATGCCGAATGATCGCTGGAGCACAGGATGCATGTGTCCGCGCTCTGTGACGCTAGCGGCCACCGGTGCGCGACGGACGCTGAACCGTCGTTGTCGGTTTCACGACGAGCGAAACCGGTTTGGTCCGAACGGTCACTCTTCAAGGCGCCAGCATGGCCCCCGTGTCGCCAGCCAAGGAGCTTGCCAAGCCCAAGAAGAAGGCGACGACCATCTCCAAGTCGATTTCGCGCGTCTTTCGCCGGGCCAAGGCGAGCGTCAGTAGCAACAACAGCGACAGCAGCAGCGCCTCCACGCGTACACTCTTGCTTCCACGTTCAACATCGCACGTGTCTTGTGTAGTAGTCGCGGCAAGCTGCCCGAGCGACGCCGGCGAGATCGAAGAGCTCTTTCTTCAGGCGGTTGACGGACTCGCGCTGCCAAAGACTGCGATGGACCGCATGCACGCGCTGCCACTGCATCAAAAGTGGCAGATCATCCACGAGTGGAGTGCCAAGCAGGGCGCCGACACGACGTCCGAGCCGCGCACGTGGGTGCAGACGCTGCACGAAGCCCTTGACGACCTCTCCAGCTTCTCGGACCAAGACGCGCGCGAGCTCCACGTCTTGATGCGCGGGAGCGACAAGGAGGTATACACAGTCTCGCAGGATACGATGTCGCTCATGAGATACACAGTGGCTCACGCAATTCCACAAGGACGATGGCATTGCAGCGCTGAGCGACCTCACCGGTGTGTACGCGGCCATGGACGACGGCGACGCGTACGCCACGCGCTTCACCGAGTGCCTCAAATGCTTCAAGTCGCTCATGAACAACCAGTACGCACCCTACCCCTACTCTCACCTCATCGTCGGGGCTAGCGTCGGCATGCACTTTCTGCTCGAGCACCCGAGCGCAGTGCACACGCTGGCGTTTTCGCTTGACTTTGATCAGAAAGAGCGGACGCTCATGCTCCTCGAGATGCTCTCGCTCACGTGCTGGTTCTCGGCGCTTGGGCATACAACGGTGCTCGATGCCATGGAGCTGCTCCGGCGTCGCCAGAACGAGCGCATGCGCTACGCCAGCCTGCTGCATGGCATGGCGACCGCGTCGTCGGTCGAAGTCCAAGCGGCGTGCTTGACGTTCATCAACACGCTCGTGAGTACGAGCGTCCGCGTGGACGACCGCATTCTTGTCCGGAATGACTTTTTGGCGCTTGACATCGTGCCACTCTGCCAGCGCGTCCTCACCGGCTTCGAGTCGACTGCGACGCCACATTTGGTCTATGGCATGTACGGCTTTGGCGACTTGGAAGTGGAGGCGATGGGCCGCTTCCGCAAGCAAGCGCAGGTGTTTCAGGGCTTGCTGCGCGCCGATACGGACGAAGTTGTGTGCGGCGCCTTGGACTTGAGCGACGTGCGCGCCGTTCTGAGCAAGCTCGTGGAGAACGCGAGCGTCCAGGGCTGCAGCGATCGGCTCCTGCATGTGGCCCTCGCGCTCCTTGTGATCCCGAACGAAGTCGCGATGGGCCACACCATGTGGGACCTGGTCGAGGCTTCGGCCCTCGACATTACATCGGCGCTGCTCCCGTACAACGAGCGTTCTCTTGGAAAACGACAGACTCAATGGACGGATGACGTAGGGAGCTCACAGAGAAGAAGCGGTCGATGGTCACCGCCGTCAAGAGGTGGCTCGAACAGCGCGCGACAGCGTCGTCTGAAGGAATCGAATCCAACCGAGTCGTACGCTAGCAAGGTCAACATTGTTACTAGCAGTGCCTTAGGTGTTGGAAGAGACACCGTTGGCAGTGCAGACCCGCCTCGTCGAGGCGACGGCCACAATAGCTCAGCTGGAAGCCGAGGTCGACCGGCTCCGCTCCCAGCTCCATGGTATAGTATCTGCCGTGATATGCGCGGATACGAGTCTTTGGCTAGAAGCAACGACCATGCCGCCGCCGAGACAAGCCACTACTACCAATGCATCAGACAACACACTTGCGACAACTTTGCCAGAAGCCGCGGCGCCGCACGAAGCGTACGCCAAGTACTTCAAGCTGCTCAAGATGGGGATGCCACTCGAGCAAGTGCAGCTCAAAGTCAAAGCCGACGGCCTCGACCCGGCCGTGCTCGCCACGAGCGCGCCACTCGCTGCGCCGACGGTCGATGCGTCCTATGACAAGTACTTCAAGTTGCTCAAGATGGGGATGCCTCTGGAGCAAGTGCAGCTCAAGGCCAAGGCCGACGGGTTGGACCCAAGTAAGCTCGCAGTGGCGACACCCGAAGCGCCAGCAACGTCGGCGGTCGTCGATACGCGATACGAAAAGTACTTCAAACTGCTCAAGATGGGCATGCCACTTGAGCAAGTCCAGTTGAAGGCCAAGGCCGACGGACTCGACCCGGCCAAGCTCAGCGGCGGTGCGACGTTGTCGCCACCCGACGGCCAACCAGCACCACCCAAGTCAAACATGGCAGCCGCCACCGTCGTCGCTACTGCCCCAGTGCGCGCTGTTTCCAAGCTGCCGCCAAAGAAGACGCCGACGCCGTCGACCAAGATGCGCAAGTGCGTCGAGAGCTATTATGTGTATGTGTTACTAACCTTGGGTGCTAGTCTCTTTTGGACGCCACTACCCGACGTCGTCGTTGAAGGGTCGATCTGGGCGACGCTGGACGAGACGACGTTGAGCTTGGACTGGTCCCTGCTCGAGCGCGAGTTTGGCCAAGAAGTTTGCGTGAAAACCGCCAAGACCGCTGTGACCAAGGCCAAAGTAGTGCACTTGGTGGACCCCAAGCGGCAGCAAAACTGCTCCATCGCACTCACCCGCTTCCGCCTCTCGCCAACAGAGCTCTGCGATGCGATTTTGTCGTTGAACGAGTCCCTCTTGACCTTGGAGCGGTACACCATCCTTCAAGCGAACTGGACGCATCCAGTGGTTAGGGTTTCGATCCTCGAAGCGCTCGTCCCGACGACTGACGAGCTCGATCTCATCAACGTTCGGCCATCTACACTGGAGTCGTCTCTGATGCGTCTGCTAGAGCTACGAGGGCGACATGACGCTTCTTGGCGAGACCGAAAAGTGGTTTGCCGCTGTGCGTCACGTCCCTCGACTACCCCAGCGTCTCCAGTCGATTTCGAACCAGCTCAGCTTTGCATCGCGCTTTGACGATCTCAAAGCCAAGCTCTCGACGCTCGAGAAGGCGCGGAGCACGCTGCACGCGGCAACGCCGACACTGCTGCCCCTTCTGCACGTCGTCTTGGCGGTCGGCAACTACATGAACAACGGTACGGCCCGCGGCGGTGCATACGGGTTCAAGCTCGAGATTTTGCCCAAGCTGTCGCAGGTACCCACGCCGTCCAAGCCACAAACATGTAGCATTTTCGCCAGGTCAAAGCCACGAGCAGCACCCGGACGCTCTTGCATGTGGTCGCCGAGGTCGTGAAAGCAAAAGCGCCCGACGCACTCGCGTTTCTCAGCTCAGCCACGTGCTTGGAAGCGGCGGCGACAGTGTCTTTGCCGCAGCTACTCTTGGACGCCACGGCCTTGGAGCGAAGCGTCGACCTGGTCCGCCAAGAGGTGCATGAACCGGTTTCTTGAAGCATTCGTGCGAAGACGCGGTGGGTAGGTCGGGCACCAGCCGGATGCGGCCTTCCGCCGACGCTTTGGTCCGTTTGTCGACACGAGCAGCATGTCGCTGGAGCGGCTCCGCGCCGACGTGAGCTCGCACGAGACCAAGTTTGCGGCGCTCTGCACGCGCTTTGGCTTCAAGCAACCCGTACGCGCCTGTCTTGCTGTCTCTTTCAGAGGTTGGAATATTTGGTGGCGCTAGGATGCGACCGGGTTCTTTGGGCTTTGGTCCGACTTTGGCCGGCAGCTCGTAGCCGCGGCCCGCGAGCTCCAATCGTCGACGGCCGCCGAGCCTGAAGACGGCGCCGGCCTCTTCAACCAGTTCTCCGAGTCGCTTGCAGGCGATGCGACAGACATTGTTGCCAAGCTCCGCAAACGCCATGCACCGGCGACTGCGCCCGCTGGAGTCCCCAACGAGCTCGCGCTCAAGCTCGCGCGGCGCCGGCAGAGCACGCTCAAGACGTCGTAGCGGTGTGGATCAATACTGCGTACAGGAGACTTGACGGATATATAATACATACACGTGGTAATAATGATAGGGTGGTGTAGCTATTGGGCTAGTTGAGCGACGACTCGAGCATAAACTGAACAAACTGGTGGCGCACGGCGAGGACGAGGTGGTCCATGCCGAGCTGCGCAAAGTCGACGTAGTGCTTCTCGAGAATGTACTTGAGTACGTCGTAGAGGTCTTTGCACATGGCTTGGACCGCAAGCACGGACGGGCGCTCGTTGCTGCTGCTGAGCGAATGCTCAATGAGCCGGAGCTTCTCGCAGAGCGTGTTGAATTCGACTGGGTTGCACTGGCGACAGTGCGTGTCGAGGCAAATGTCCTTGGTCAGGTTCAGGAGCAGGCTCAGGTCTTCGGCGATCGTGAGCACCGTGCAAAGCATCTCTTCGACATCAAAGTCCGAGAGGAACCGCGTGCGCTTGACCGTTGGTGGCAGCGCGGCCTCTCGCCGGCGCTTCTCGCCCGAGCGTGGCGGTGCGACTACCTGCAGCATGGCCATCCGTCCGTCTCTTCGGCTCGCAATTCCAAAGTGCCAACTCGCAAACGGTCGCAATTTCGCTCGAAATTTTCAAGCGGCTTCCAGAGAGGCGGACACGTGGGATCGCTATTATATTCGCATAGGAATATTTTAATCTACGAATATATACGACCAATATTTCCTCCTCTTTTAATACGATATTGGCATGCGAGGATGTGCATACAAGATGGCTGTTCTTGCAGGCATATATTCATATTAAAATATTAAAATGCCATCGATATTTAAAACATATCTCGCGCGACAAGAGAGATGTAATGCACGCCTAGTCTGCCTGACGGAATATTGGGTCGCCCACCACCGGTACGGCGACGGCAGATTGAAGCTGTCGAGAGGAGGTATGACGCGGTGGTTGATCGAGCGTGCAGTGCAGTGAGTACTGTGCACGTCGCTACGCTCGGAATTTATCCCAACATCCAATATACTGCGAGCTCGTACCGGCGGGTTGCAATACTTAGTATGGATGATTTGGATACACCGGCGATGGTGGCGGTGCGGGGCTTGCCGAGGGCGATAGTGTCCGTGTGATTCCTTGAAGTACGCTGTTACTTCTGGCAGCGCGATCGCGTTGCGGCGGCTCGGGTGCACGCAAGCCACTCACGATCCATCGACTCGGTGTCTCGACGCCGCGTGCACCGAAAATTTCATTCCAGCTGCCCCACGGGGCCAGGACCAAGCCTCGCTGGTGCTGTTACGCAACGTCGTTGCCCCATCGTCTAGTGACAGCCCGCTTCGTTCCTACGGCGCTTGCCCGCGTCGCTGGTATATACCGCGTGTGCATAAACAGCGCCCCACTCGCGTCGAAAAGAAGAATGCCAGCTAAATTTTCAACTTGAAGTTGCTCGCAAGGGGCCGAGATGCACGCAACTTGACGTTTAGCCTCAGGGCGAGACGGAAGAGATCCTCGCATCCTCCTCTTGCGACGCAGCTCAGCGCGGTGGTGAGATGCTTGCCAACGTCGGTGCCCAAAGCGGATCTAGAAGGCAGCGCCTTGCAACCTCGGCGGTGGGCTAAAGGGGCGTGCATTTAGCTACATTGCAGTGCCAGTTGCCCAATCTTTCGGTCCACACGCAATCAGAACGCATTGGGTGTAAAACGACCTTTGTCCCATTTGGTGGCGCGGTCGTCGCCAATGAAGCGACGGCGCGCCGCATCGTCACAGGACACCCAGTGCAAATTGTGAAGAAGAAATACCCCGAAACGAGGGAGCTTCTTGGCTTCCCATCAAGTGGACGGTCTGTGGTCCGAGCTGCTTGATTCAAAATTTGTCCAATGCAAATTTTGGCCCGCACTGGTTTCAGAAATTTCCGATGCGTCTCAAGGAACGGAAATACCACCCGAATCATCACAGAGGTCCTTCACTCATGGAGCGAATACACCAAAGCGTCTGGAGGTCCTCTCCCACGCGCTCGATGTGTTGATCTTGCGGTGCACCTGAATATTTGAATTTGACGCTGTGGGATTTTCCAAGTGGGACAAAGTACGAATTAGGTTGCTAATTCCTACCACGCGGCGCCAATTCATACCAGCATGGTCTTATATTTCTCGGCCGCGCGGTTGGACAACGATGCAAGGTGGCAGCGACTCGGAAGACGAAGGCTGGCGTGACTGCGTCGAGTATGGCCTCTCGACAATCCGCATTGGGCGCGACCTGCGCTTCCGCATCCGTCAGATGGAGGAGCTCTCGCTCGCCGCGTCCTTCTCGATGCTCTCCGAGATGAAGGCCACGTCGTCCGAGATCTCGGGGCAGCGCATTTGGCCCGGGTCGTACCTCCTTGCCGAGTACCTCCACGCCCACGCCGACATTGTTGCTGCCAAACGCGTGCTCGAGCTCGGCGCCGGCACAGGCCTTGCGAGCCTCGTTTCGCGGCTGGCAGGCGCGTCCGACCTCGTCGCCACCGACGGCGACCTCGAGGTCGTCAACGACGTGCTGGCGTGGAACGTGCAGTCGAACGCACCGGACGCGACCAACTTGCACACGGCGTCGCTGTGGTGGGGCGACGCGGCTTCCAACGCGGCGTTCGCCGAGCGCTTTGGCGACCATCGCTTTGACGTGCTCATCGCCGGCGACGTGCTCTACAAGGGCGAGCTCGTCCCGCTCTTGCTCTCGACAGTCCGCACGTGGCTCGCGCCGCACGGACGCTTTGTGCTCTGCCACATTCCGCGCGCCGACGTCTCCCACGACGTCCTCCAGGCCGCGCTGACATCCCACGGGTTTCGCTTCACGACGACGACGACGCTCGACCGCGCCAACCTCCCGGACGACTGCGCTCTAGACGACGCCAAGCGCGCGATTCTGTACGACATTGTGTATGCATAATCGTCACAAACTCGTCGACGCATCGTAGATACTAGTGGAAAACAGTGTACATCTTCTAGTTGGCGTGGCGCCGGGTGGGCGCGACGCGGATGTTGAGGCGCCGGCGGAGGTCCTCGAGCTTGGTTTCGTACTCGCGCTCGTAGTAGACATTGAGGAGGCACGGTGCTTCGCGGCCGGCGCGGTAGGCCCACGGCACAAACGTGCCGAGAAGCTCCTTGCGCTCGCCTACGTCGCATGGTCAGCGGCAGCTTATGGAGGCAATGGTCGTACCACACGAGAGGCGAAGCGGCCCAACAAAGCCGCTCAAGGCGCACACGGGCAGGCCCGTCTGGACCAACTCCACGTACTTGAGCGCGATTTCGCTAAAGACGGTCGGCGGCAGGCCAAAGAGAACGTGCCAGAAGTCGTGGAGCTCCCGGTACCGCTGCAAGACGTACGCTAGCTCCGGGTCGTCGACAAAGCGGACGTGCGCGCGGCCGTCGGCTTCAAAGCTGCACACGCATGAGGCTGCGTAGGAGGAGGAGGCAATGACGTACTACGTACCCATGGGCGTCCATAAACTGCGTGTAGGCGTAGCCAAAGGTGTCGGTGGGCAGCGACCGGAGCGCGTCGATGTCCGTGACCGCCGACCGGATCCGCGGCTTCTGCGCGAGGATCTCCATGCCCACGGGGTCCGAGCACATCTTGAGGTGCATCTGGCGCAAGGCGACTTCGCCCGTGGCGTCGCCGAGGGCCGCGAGCATGTCGCCGCGCTCCGGGTTGGCAAAGACCGAGACGGCCGCCGTAGCTGCCACCAGCAGCTTCTGCGTCGGCGTCGTGGGCACATGGTGGGCGTGGAGGACGTGGCGCGTGGGCAGCCCGGCGGCCGACGGCGCCAAGCTCGAGGCCGATCGGGCCGCGACCCGCCACAGACTGCGACGCGCTGCTGCCATGAAGATGGTGGTGATGGTGGTGTTCGTGCGAGTTCCCAACTGGTGCATGGCCGCGGCGTAAAAACAGCCAATCAGGGCGCAGTGAAGTAGAAACGCGCGAAGCTGCGCGCGGGAAAGGCCAAGATCGCGCCGCCTCGCGCTTGTCCACACAACGCAAGGTGCCCAGCAGCCGCGGATCGGTCCAGAAGCGGCTATGGCAGCGTGCATATGACGGCGTAGCAGCGCGCCCATGCACTCGTCGTCGATCTCAAGCCGGCGACAGTCCGTCGCCACCTTGCCTTGGTCAAGGGCGAACCTGCCCGAGTATCATGGCATCCTTCGCAGTGTCCCTTGGAGCAACCACTCCAAGGCGGATGCGGCAAGAGCTATCCGACCGTGCGCTTCACGACGTGGAGCGTTCGTATCGATCTGACAATCACTTGACCGTCGACAAGGAGTTCATAGAACGTGCGCTACGCTGTGGCGGATACGCCCGGTGCCTGTCGACTGTACCAAGGTACTGGTAGGCTTCATACAGTGTGTTTTCAGGTTCTACTCGCGCGATTCAAAGCGCCACGCAAGGTGAATGTGGTCGGCGGCTGTGGGAATTGATCGATGGCTCTTGATCTGCCCACGGCCAAGGGTTGCTCACAGTCCAAGCTCTGTCGGAACGTGTGTTGTGTTGACGTTGAGGTATACCTGTGTTGCGTCCGCAGAGACCTCGAGCCATCTTCTAGTCGCTCGCTCACCAAGCGACGGGGTGCTCGTGGTACTTGCGGGAACCCGTTGCCCTGAGACAGTGTTTCAGACCCGATAGACAATGAAGCATCAAAGCCTAACGTTACGATGATCCCGCTGTATGTGAACCAGTGATGTTCTGTGACTCCGCACGAGACCTCGACGTACCAGTACTACTGACTTGGTACGAAACACGCACCGGTCTCGTCGGCTGCCTCCTGCTTAGCCTCGCATTGGCGCGTCAGCGGCCAAGTGATCGTCACACTCGGACCAAGGACGTGAGCAGCGTTTTTGGGGAGACGCGCGTTCGAAGAAGGCGCGACGACGTTCCGCTACGTCGGATATGGACGTCACAAACCACGACGTCTCGACACAATGGCCATTCGCGGTGCTTGTCCAAGCCCCGGCTTGTCGTCATACAGACGCAACTCTAGAGAAACTTCGTCGCACCGTCGACTGTTCGCGTTGCCACTGCGCTTTGCTCGCGACCAAGTCGTAGCTAGCAGCCGACGTGTTGCTCGTTGATCGATCGCTTGGTGAATGTACTCTGTCTCATCCTTTCATACCAACCAGCATAGGCATTGATTGTACCATGCACAACATGATCTCCGAGCGTGATGACGTCATCATGACGTGGCAGTCTCTTACGACAGATAATCAAAAGGCACGCAAAATTTTGTGTATCGAGTCGAATAGAGCACAGTTATCTAAGCGAAGGCACCTTCATCAAGGATAGAAAACTGCGATGCGTACTCTCCAGCCGAGTGCATCGTCTTGGGCGCCGCCTCTGCGGCCGCAAGGGACGCCGCCCAGTTCTCAAACAACTCTTCGTGCTTGGCCGGGTCCGCCAGCGCCTTGGCCGCGCGCGTGCTCACGAGCGCAAGGTCGTCGCGCCACGCACCCAGCACGTCGCCCACCTGGTCGGGTTGGTACGACCGCGCAAAGAATGCAGCTTCCGGCAGCCGCTTGGTCTCGACGAGCAGCGCCGTGCACTCGCGGAGTCGGCCGAGCAGAAGGAGCGCGATGAACGCCACGTTGTGCCGGTGCTTCTCGGTCGCGAGCGCTGCGAGCCGCGTGAGCCCACTTAGGTCGCCCTTGGACGTGTACAGCAAGAGCAGCAGACTCAGGTCGTCGGCCTTGATTGCGCACTCTTCGGCGAGCTCGTAGTTGGCGTCGTTGAGCGCGAGGTCGCCAAGCTGCTTCCACTTGTGCTGCATGTCGGTGGCCGACACGTGCACATCGTTGGCCGTGCGCTCCATCATGATGGCCTTGGCCACGTCGAGCTTGGCGAGCTGGACGGCGAGGTCAAAGCGCTGGTCCGGGTCCGTGCTCAGCTGCAAGGCCTCTTCCTTGAAACCCTGCGACTCGAGGAAGCGCGCGACCGCGTCCATTTGGTCGGACGGAAGGCGCGGCAGGATCGCGTTGGCTGCGTCAAAGTCGCGCCGGACGACCGCAGTCTGGTACTCGAGCAAGACGACGTTGAGCGTGAAGCTCGTCACGTGCTTGGCCTTGTCCATGAGGAAGACGACGTTCTCGCGCGGAAGGTACCCGAGCAGGTACATCTTGCTCGGGAGGTGCGACACGGTCATGATCTCGCCGCCGACGTAGTAGTTGAGGCGGCCGGTCGCGTTCACATACAAGAAGCAGTCGCCGATCCACGTGCCCGACCCGACCTTTTCGCTCATCTCGTGCAGCAGCTCAAACGACCCCTCGACGCCGTCCGGCCCCGCCGCATGCAGATTCGCCGCCACTGCGTCGCGGTGGTAGCGCAGCACGTAAAAGCTGGCGTCGCTTGCCAGCACGAGAAGGTCGCCGGCGTCCGACCAGTAGACGTTCTTGACGGACGCATCGATCTTGCGCACAAAGCGGAGGTCGTCCCAGTCGTAGAATGCAATGCAGTCGGGCCCACGGACGCCGACGAGCGCGCCGCCAAAGAGCCCTTCGGCCGAGCACTGGGCGGGCTTGATGGTCTTGGCCTCGGCAAAGTTCTTGAAGAGCGTGAGCTTGGAAGACGACTCGCGCGTGACGTAGTCGCCCGTGCCCGTCGGCGACCACGCAAAGTCGAGCGCCGACCCAAAGCTCTTGTTGCGCAGCTGCTGCGACGTGTAGATGATGTACTCGCCGTCGCCGCAAATGACCACAAACCGGCCGTTCGCGTTGTGCTTGAGCTTTTGCGGAAAGACGTCGCAGGACCCGAGGTCGCGGCCTGGCAACGGCACGCGCTCGCCGTCCTTGAGACTCAATTCGGCCACGACGCCCTTGAGACTCGCGGTCTGAATCTCGTTGTTGTTGGCCCAAATGACCTTGCCGGTCGCGTCCATGCTCACGATCGGCGTGTCGTGGCCCAAGCGCAGGACGACGCTGCCTTCGTCGTAGCCAATCGCCATCTTGTTGGAGCCCTCGAGGCCCGCCAAGCACCACGCGCGCTCCATGCCATAGTTGAGCGTCGTCTCGGCGCGGTACGTCGTGCTGTGCCACATGCGCACAGCGCCGTCTTCGCAGGCCGAGATGATGAGCGGGAGGCGCGGGTGGTAGAGCACGTCCGAGAGGTTGTGTGTGTGGCCGTCAAGCGTGTGCACGATCGTCTTGGTCTGGTAGTCCCAGACCTTGACGGTCTTGTCGTCCGAGCCAGAAATGAGGTACGGCTTGTCGCCGCCCGGGTAGTAGTCGACGCAGTTGACGCCCTTTGCATGGCCCTCGAGCGTAAAGTGGGGCGTGCTCGTTGCGAGGCCCCAGACGCGGACCGTGCCGTCAAAGCCGGCGGTCGCAAACGTGTTGGTATCCTTCGGGTTGAACTTGGCCATCATGACGTAGCTGCCATGGCCCTCAAAGACGCGCGTGCACAGCCAGTTCTTGTCCCAGTCCCACATCTTGACCGTCATGTCGTCGGCGCACGTGAGGACAATCGGCAAGACCGGGTGCACCTCGAGATACCGGACAAAGTCGTGATGCGCTTCGACGCTCACGACCTTGTCCATCGTGTTGTAGTTGAAGACGGTGAGGTGCATGTCGTCGCCCGACGCGACGATCCACTGCTTGCGCGCGACGAACTGTACGCTGCGCACGGGGAGCGCGCTCACTTCAAACGACTTGACGAGCTCCTCGGTCTCGTAGTTCCAGATCGTGGCCGTGCCATCGTAGAGGCCACTTAGCACCCACGGCTCGGTCGGGTGGAAGGCGACGCTCTTGACGCGGATCGACCGCGTCTTGAGGCCCTTGGCGATCTCAAGGCGCAGCGGCTACATGCAGCGAGATGAGCACCTCCCATGCGGCAGCGTCGGCTACCATGTCAGGACGTCAATTTCCAGTCTGGGCCGCAGCCCACCTGCATCCGGATGCTCCATTGGGCCAATCACGATGCAGGGGTTTGGTTTGTGGTGGCACCTTCTGATTGGCTAGCTTCGTATCTTGAACCATCGCGACCACAAAGACCAGAGATGTTGACCCCGAGCGAGCTGCTGTAGGCAGCGCCCAAGCGCCGGAACCGCATGAGCCGAAGTGTCGTCGTCGCTTGACCAAGATAGGCTACCGGCGACAAGCGAATCGATGAGTTGCGGACATCAAGTCGATCAGTTGCTGGAGAAGCTAGCGGGATCGCAGGCACGGTAGTGCCCAAGTCGGCCGAGAAATGTGCTGTCGGCGAGCAGCTATCACCAAGTGTCTCTTCCAGTTCTGGTTCTCGAAAGCAAAAACTGAATATTGAAGTCCTTGTTGAAGCCCGGCGTAGCCAAGGCAACCTCTGCACAAATGGGGTAGGTGGGCAAATCCGATGGCGGTGAGTACGGGACACGAGAGGTCACACCTTGCCAGTTGCCCTCACACTGCTCACTACTAACGTCAGAGTCGTTCACTGGAGGCCGATGCACGCTCGCCGTAGCGCCAACGCATCGCCGCGAGCGTCCAGACCTTCCCGGTGACGGACGCCGATTCAAGTCCTTTGTGTCGACAACGACAAGACCACATTCGAACGACCTAGACCCACAGCGATCACTCGATAATTGCTGCCACACGCAGAGTGATGCGCGTGGTCCTTGACGCTTTTCCGCCAATGAGCGTCGCCTTCGAAACATTTGCCCAATCAGAGGCGGCAAAATGTCTATGTTTATAGCCAATCGGAGTGCAACGTCAACCAACGGTTCAGTCACGAAGCCGGTTCAGTGCGAGATGCCGGTCACACCCCCGCCTGACGCGCCCGCCAAGCGCCTCCGCGACGACGACGAGCTCTCGGGCGACGCGACGGCCATGCTCGTGGACGTCGGCATCGATCGCAAGCGCAAGCGGCTCATTAATGCGAGCTTCATCTGGGAGCACTTTCGCAAGTCTGAGGACAGAAAGTCCATCGTATGTCTCCACTGCATCCCCGAAGGCTCGACGCGCTTTGCCTACTCGGGTGGCACATCGACGATGAACCGCCATCTGCGCCGGAAGCATGGCATCTACGCGCCGGGCAAGTGCGCCGAGGACTACGAGCCAAGCGAGCATAGCAGCAACGTGCTACGGCTGCCACTGGCAATCGTCCCACCGACCGCGTCGCCCGACGTCGGCGAGAGCGCAAAAGCCGCCGACGAGACCAAGCTACCTCTGCGTCCGACGAAGCAGTCGATGGCGCAAACGCAGCAGTGGATCCATTACGCGGTCGCGCAGTACGCACCGCTCGAGATGGACGCGGACCTCCTCAATTTGCTCAAGTCCAAGACCACCGGGTCGTTCCAGTCGCTGCAAGGCCCGGCGCTCCTTGCGATGCTGCGGGAGGCTGCGCTCTCACTACGGAGTGCGCTCCACACCTACCTCGTCGCATCGCGGCCCAAGCTGTCGCTCTCGATCGACACTTGGGAGCTTGGCTCGCCGTCGTTTTGCGTCTACGTGGCGACCGCGCACTGGGTGACCGATGCGTTCGAGCGCCGGCAGTGCGCCCTCGATATCTCGCTCGTCGGCGGCGACCGGCCGTTTGAGCTGTGGTTCCGGGCGCTGCTTGAGACATATGGCCTCGAGTCGCACCTCGTAGCCGTCACCCTCGGCCGCGACTGCCCGCTGAGCGCGCTGCAGGCGTCGTTTCCCAACATCGTCTTTGTACCGTGTCTACTGCACCAGCTCGAGGACCTCGTGCGGTCGATCTTTGACGTCGCCGCCGACGTGCTCCACCGGTGCCGCGAGGCCCTCTTGCGGAGCCCGTGCCACAACACGCCGCTCGACACGCCGACATCCTCGTGGTGGTCAACGTGCGACATGGTCTCGCAGGTCGTCGCAGCCGAACGTGTCTGGAAGGACGAGATCGCGGCCGAAGACTGGGCGACGCTCAAGGACATGGCCGAGGTACTCGTGCCGATCCAGTCGCTGCTGCAAAACTGCCTCCTCGAGTCCACTGTGCTCGAGCCTTTGGCGTCGCTCGTGTTTGCAATGCTGCATGGCATCGCCAAGCGTCTCCGCAGCTTTAAGTCGCCGATCCAAAAAGCTCTCGCGACCGGCGTCATGGCCCTGTTGAAACACGCGCCGTCGATCTGCCACGTCATTTGTGCGCTCGATCCACGCTTCAAGACACTGCCGTTCTTGAGTCCGAACGAGAAGCACGCAGCCTTTGTGACGCTGAGCGCGTCGATGGAAAAACCATCGGCCGAGGCCAATGACGTCGAGGCGTCGACGCCGTGCTTGCCGAAGCGCGGCAAGGACAGCCTCATGATGGCGTGGAGCGACATGTACCCGTTCGAAGACAGCTCGGCGCTGCCACTCCAAGCGACGGTGCAGACGTACTTGGACGCAGCAACGTCGTTGACAGCGGCGTCACCGACCGACCTCGTCGACCCGCTCGCGTGGTGGAAGGTCAACGTGCACGTCTTTGGCGACATGGCGACGCTGGCAAAATCGTACCTGAGCGTCACCCCGTTCTGTCTGCCGGTGCAAGACGTGCTCTCGCCGTCGCTCCGCGCGCGCAAGCTCCAGCTGCCGACGCATCTCGTCGACGTCATCCTCTTCTTGCGCAGCGCGCTGCATGTGCCCGAGCTCCAAGACACAAGCAACAAGCCCGTGACGACGATGGTGTGAACAAGCTCGGCCATTTGAAAATATTCGCTGTATAAACTGCAAAAACCGTCGCCATCTAAAATTACTCGTCCCAGATTTAGCCACGTCATTCGATTTCTTGACAGCAAATATGCAGCGCCGAGCGACGGCCGTCAAGCAGAGCGCTGCCGGCGGCAGCATCTGGGACAAGGAAGCGACCGACTACTGGAAGGACATCAAGGTCCGCGACGCCGATGCGAGCTCGACGTCGTCACAGCGAGGACGCGTGGCGCTGCTGGCGGGCGCAGCGATGACCGCGCTCCTGGTGGTGAGCGGCGTCTACATGGCGAGTCGTCCGGCCGCTGACGTCTCGCCCGATGCGCGCGCCAACCTCGTCCGCGCCAACTGCACATCGCTCGCTGTGCAGTCGCGCTGGCACGCCGACATGTGCAAGCGCATCTGCCCCGAGTACGCCGCCTCCTCTCGTCGTGATGGCGTTTGAACCAGGCGTTTAGGAACGAGTTCAACGACCCGTGCACGAACGGGTGTCTCTACGGCACGATGACCGTGACCAAGGCGGTTTGCGCCGAGCGGCTGCTCAACGCGACCGACAGTATGACGTGCATGCCCCGCGTCGACTGCGCAGGTGCGATAGAGTGATACGATCCGCGCTGAGATGGCGTAGGCGCGTGTGTCGAGTACGCCAGCGTGCGCCCGATCCCGGCCAAGCGCAACGCGTGCGAAGGCGGGTGCAACTCGGTCGTGCCCTCGAGCTGCAAGCGCGCGATGGACCTCTTTGACGAGCTGGCCAAAGCGCCATGACCATGCATATACATCACCATTAATCGTTCTGCAGAAAGCCTCTTCTTACGCGTGCAAGAGCTCGTTGGCTTCGGCAATGCAGGCCCACTCGGTGCCTTCGGGCACTTGTTCCAGAAGCATCTCGATCTCTTGCGCAATCGCTTCGAGGCGCTGATAGCTCTCGGGCAACATGGCCTCAGTCTCCGCAAGCACCTCCTGCTGCTTGCGGATGTCGTGGTCGTCGTACTTGGCGTCGCTGCGCATGCTCGCGATCTTCTCGAGCTGCTTCGTCTTCTCCTTCTCGTAGAAGCCGACGTCCTTCTTCGAGCGCTTCAGCACGCCCACCTTGATCTTGAGCTCCTTCTCGGTCAGCATCCTCCTCCGGTTCTTCTTTGGCACCGACGACGCTTGGCTCGCAATCGCCACCCCCGATTGGTTAAAATCAATACCCTTTTGCACCAATCAGACAATGCGCCAAGATCGCGATCTTCGAGAGGCGTGCTTGGACTAGCAAAGATATTTGAGTCGATACTGCATCGCCAAGGTTCATCTACTTGAAGCATTAACAGACAAATGCGCGCTTGCTAAAATGCCCAAGCGACGTTGATCCTACCGGTGGAGACGGCATGTTCACCTTCTCCTCATCTTGTTACGAGATCAACACTTTGACATGTGCCGAGTAGCATTCCGGTAGATGGCGTCGAGTATGGTCAAGAGAACGAGGAGTTGTCGTTCAAGCCTGGAGGCTGAAGCTAGCTGCTGTGATCCGCTGGTGCCCTCTACCGGTACTGCTGCTGATGTAGTATGGAGATGCGCCTCGGACACTGTTGCTAATTTCACGCACTTTTAACCCTACTCTGTCTCCATTCCGTCCAAGTACCAATACTGCGCATGCACCAAAGCTGGCGAAGATATAATGCACGTCTTTTTCGGCGTATTGACGACGCACGGGGCGTTGTGCAGCGAGCGCAACACCCATGGAGCACCGTGGTGATGCGAAAGTTGGGTGATGACAGCCTCTTGCTATCAGGATTTCAGCCAATCCCGTGCCGCCATGTATGAAAACTGCGAGAGCCGATATCCGTTTCCGCAGGATGACTTCGATCCCCAGAGTATTTCGGATTTGTGGCCCATACCCCAGCGACCCGGACTGCTCATGGTACGTGGCCGCCCCATGAGGCCGCGAAATGACGCCTGTACATGCGTAGCCGCTGCGCCTAGACATCAAGAAAAAGCTCACGAGCCGGTCGGAGCGCGTCAAGAGCGTGGACCTGCACCCGACCGAGCCATGGGTGCTCACCGGCCTGTACAACGGCAGCGTCATGCTCTGGGACTACGACAAGCAGCAGCTCGTCAAGTCGTTTGAAGTGAGCTCGCTGCCCGTGCGCAACGCGCGCTTCATTGCGCGCAAGCAGTGGATCGTGTCCTCGAGCGACGACCTCCAGATCCGCGTCTTCAACTACAACACGATGGACAAGGTCGCAGCCTTTGACGCGCACACGGACTACATCCGGTACCTCGAGGTGCACCCGGTCTTGCCCATCGTTCTCTCGTGTGCCGACGACATGACGGTCAAGATGTGGGACTGGGATAAGAACTGGCTGTGCACGCAGGTCTTTGAGGGCCATGGCCACTACGTCATGATGGCCAAGTTCAACCCGAAGGATACCAACACGTTTGCGACCGCGTCGCTCGATCGCACCGTGCGCGTCTGGGGCCTCGGCTCGTCCCACCCGCACTTTACGCTCGAAGGCCACGAGCGTGGCGTCAACTGCGTCGACTACTACCCGGGCGGCGACAAGCCGTACCTCATTTCTGGCTCGGACGACAAGACCGTCAAGGTCTGGGACTACCAGACCAAGACGATCGTGCACACGCTTGACGGCCACACGCACAACCTCTCGGACGTGCTCTACCACCCGCGCCTCCCGCTCATCATCTCGGCCTGCGAAGACGGCGCTGTGCGCATGTGGCACAGCACGACGTACCGCGCCGAGTCGACGCTCAACTATGGCATGGAGCGCGCGTGGTGCTTGGCGGGCCTCGAGGGCTCCAACAAGATGGCGATTGGCTACGACGAAGGCAGCGTCGTCCTGCGCTTGGGCCACGACACGCCGATCGTGAGCATGGACGCGACCGGCAAGGTCATTTGGGCCAATAACAACGAGATTCAGACCGCGAGTCTCAAGGGCGTCGTGGCCGAATTGAGTCTCAAGGACGGCGAGCGCGTGCCGTTGCCAGGCCGTGACCTCGGGTCCTGCGACGTCTTTCCGCAAAAGCTCAAGCACAACGCGAACGGCCGGTTTGTGGTCATTTGCGGCGACGGCGAGTACATCATCTACACGTCGCAGCAGCTGCGCAACAAGAGCTTTGGGTCGGCGCTCGACTTTGCGTGGTCGCCGACGGGCACGGGCGACTACGTCACGCGCGAGTCGTCTTCCAAGCTCACGCTCTTCAAGAACTTTGCCGAGGCCAAGACCATCAAGCCTGCCCAGTGCTCGGCCGAAGGGCTCTTTGGCGGCGCGCTCGTCGGCGTCCGTGGGCCCGACTGCATTGCGTTCTACGACTGGGATGACCTCCGCTTTGTGCGCAAGATCGACGCGTCCGTCAAGAACGTCTACTGGTCGGACGCCGGCGACCTTCTCGTGCTGGCAAGCGACGCCAGCTTTTACGTGCTGCGCTACCACCGCGACGCAGTGACGGCGAATCTGCATGCGGCGGGGCCGGACGGCGTCGAGGGGTCGTTTGAGCTGCTGCACGAGATGAGCGAAAAGGTCGGGTCGGGCACGTGGATCGGCGACTGCTTCTTGTATGTGAACGCGACCGGCCGCCTCAACTACTACGTCGGCGGCGAGATCATGACCGTGTCGCACCTCCCGAGCAAGATGTACCTGCTCGGGTACCTTCCGCGCGAGAACGTCGTCTTCCTCATGGACAAGGCCAAGCACGTGACGAGCTTCACGCTCAACGTCGTCTTGCTCGAGTACCAGACTGCGGTCGTCCGGCGCGACTTTGACGCAGCCAACGCGATCCTGCCGCGCCTTCCGTCCGACCAAATGGACGCGGTCGCGCGCTTCCTCGAGTCGCAGGGCTTCAAGGAAGAGGCCTTGCAGCTGAGCACGGACCCGGACCAGCGCTTTGACCTCGCCGTCCAGCTCGCCAAGCTCGACGTGGCCAAGGCCATCATGATGGAGCGCGCGGCCAACGATGTGCACGTGTCGGCCACCGACATGCAGCACAAGTGGAAGCAGCTTGGTGACCTCGCGCTCAACGACGCCAACTACGAGCTCGCCGAAGAGTGCGCAATCAAGGCCGACGACCTGAGTCTGCTGCTCTTGCTGTACACGTCCAAGGGCGACCTAAGTGGGCTCACGCGGCTCGCAGCGCTCGCGACCGAGAAGCACCGGCACAACGTGGCGTTCATCGCGCTCCTTCTGCTCGGCCGACTCCGCGAGTGCACGGCGCTGCTCGTCGAGACCAAGCGGCTGCCGGAAGCTGCGTTCTTTGCGCGGTCGTACCAACCCGACCAGGTGGGCGACGTGCTGGGTGCGTGGCGCGAGGACCTTGCGCTCGTGAGCACGCGCGCGGCCAAGGCGCTGGCGGACCCGGCCAAGCACGAAGAGTTGTTTGAGAACTGGGCGGCGTCGTTGAATGCGGCGCATCTGCTGGAGAAGGAGCGTCAAGTGCACGCTGCCGCTGCCGAGTACCCGACGCGGTCGCCGCTTCTGGACATGAACGTCTTGGAGGCCATGGGCGCGCCGACCGGAGGTATGTAGCAGCGTAATTTTGACTTAATATATCTGTGACGAAGACGACGTCAACTCTGTGTGCTGTAGGCCAGCATCAGGCACAAGTCCGTCACGAAGATGAAGCGCAGTGCGAGTCGGCCGCTGAAGAAGCGGATCGCTTGCAGCAGCAGGTCCATGCAGAGACTGAAGCGCAAGCCCGTGCAGAGACTGAAGATCAAGCTCGCGCTCACGCTGAAGCTCAAGCCCGTGCTCAGGCTGAAGCTCAAGCTCGCGCTGAGGCCGAGGCCCAAGCCCGTGCGCAGGCTGAAGCCCAGGCTCGCGCT